TCACACGTACGCGTTTACAATTTCCAGTTTCTTATTGGCCAGTGATTCGATCATCATATTCTTGGTTGGTTGATGATAGAAACGCCCTCAACTTGCTAACCTATAGCGCTTGCTAACCGTTAGCGTATCCGGATACCGCTAACGGTTAGCGCTAACCGATCGGACGTTCTCATGCAGGTGCTAACGGTTAGCTCCCGATCTGGATACTAGGGCTCTCGTGAGAACCAGGCTTTGTGTTTTATTCAGCAAGTACAACACCGATTTTGGGTATTACCATTGAAATGTCGGTGCAAGTCATGTGAATGTGGATGTGAATGAACAAAAAAAAAAGTTCAGTTGTGTAAAACTTCATGTATTTATTCAAAGATAACCTGAATAAATACCTAAAGCGTAAAACCCTTTTTACCATCTTGTATTCCAATTGTGTTTTCAAGACTTTTATGAGTCTCCTTTAATTTCCATATATTTCTATTTTAAGATAGGCCTAAGCCAAGACCTGCTGAAGTTATAAATCCAGATCTGGCGAGGCAACAATTTAAGGAACGACTTTTAAAAAACTCAATAAATGACGCTATGTCTCTTATGAAAAGTCAGCAAACCGAGAAATATATTAGGAAGGTATCAGCTGAGGACACGAAAGAATGTAACAGTAAGTAAATAATAATAATAATAATAATAATAAAAATAATAATAATAATAATAATAATAATAATAATAAATAATAATAATGACTTAAAAATATGCAAATTGAAAATCAATCAATCAATCAATCAATCAACCAAACAAGCAATCAATCAATCAATCAATCAATCAATCAATCATAAACTACTACCTGTCTCTCCTCTCTCAATTGCTGATTGCTGATGTGTCTTTGATACGGCTAAATATTCAACACTTATTCTTGCGAATTTGTATCAATATTTATTTCATCTTAAGACGTGTTCTCTTTTTATAAAATACTATTATGTTCAATGTTCTATTATCTTCAACAGACATGCAGTTGGTGGTCGGGGTTGTGATAGGTATAGCGTCCTCGACCGTTTTGGCAGTTCTGGGTTTTGTTGCGCGCTTCTATTTGTTCAGCAATACCGAGTACGTAACGTTTATCTAATTTTGATTGTACTTTCTGCAGGCCCAAATGTGGACGGTCCTCATAAATTCAGTGTTATTTTTGTCTTTTTTGTGTTTTAAATGGCTATGGCTAACAACAATGATAAATGCAGACTACAGGACCAAAAACGATTTATTGCGCACGTCTCGTCGCCTTTCGTTGTTCATGAAATCGCGTCTACCAACGATCGTTGGCGTGTAGTGTGTCTGATTTAGAGAGCATATGCCAGTAATAGGCCTATGTATGTCATGCTTTTTTAATAATGTTGTGGAATCATGATCGTTGATGATCATCATCATTAAAATCTTGTTAACGAAAGTCTACACTGTATTGACGAGAGTTTAATCTGGATGATACCCTTGTTTTCCCAGAGGTTGTGAAGAAGAGTTTGAAGTTTATGACGAAATCGTTGGCTCAGATGACGGATTTTATCTTGACGATGATGACATTCAACCAGTCAGGTTAGACATTCAAAATCACGCCTTCTAAAGCGTTTAAAAAATAATGTAACCTATTTATCAATAGTTTTCATATTATGTCTATCCAGAGTCAACGCAACAAGAATGAGGTGACGTGTGACAATACATACAATACAAAAGAAAAGATGAGATAGACAAAGTATTTGGTTGTTACTATAAATTTGGTAAAAGCAAGCAGAGCCAACGGCATGTTGTACTAAATGTGGGTGCGGAACATTCGTCATAAATAACAAACCGTGTCAATCTCAATGAATACGGTACCAAATTAACGTCACAGCAAATTTTATTGATTTTTACTTTGGCCTGATTATATTTAAATCTAATAGGAAAACCTCAGTAATAAACAGTGTCCCCACACTGCGCATTGCAGCTCTGAGTCACATCTCAAAAGAGAGATCCAGGCCGTTTTTGGGTAACGCTCATTTCTTCTACATCCAACTTGAAATCCGCCTTCCAAAACTAACTTCGCTCATTCCCACCCGAGGGCGTTCCGGGAACATTGTCCCAGCTAACTATTTTCCGTCACAATAACGTTGCGGTAAGGCTTTCAGAATGTTTTTTAGAATGTCTTTTCTTTAAGGACTTTAAATGGAAGTCCAGTGTGCACATCTGGGTCATGTGCACTTTAAAGAACGCATCCATCTTTCGGAAGAGCTATAATAGCAGGTTACCCACTGTGTTTTTTCAGTCCCCGTTCAGTCGTTGTGGAAATACGTGAATATAAATCGAGCTAGCTGCAGAACCCCACGTGTAAAGTGGAGCATTTGACTAAAAAACATTAGTGCACTATCGTCACCTAATCATAAACTATTCTCTAAACTGAATCTCAACATTGTAGTAACAATGCTTCTAAATTATATATAATTACAACTCACCTATTGTATTTAAATCCTTTACTATGAGCTTAAAAGTTACCCATGGATTAGTACAAATGCATTGTTTGCTATTTTAGTATTGTATTTTTACAACTGAAAATCTTTTTTCATGAGAATAAATATATGATAATACTGTAATTATGAAAGAGACATCAGAAAAAAAAATATCTAAGCATCTTAAGTTGAAGCCGAGCTCTTTGTTGAAGATGTCAATTTTTTCAACTACAATGTCGGGGCCCCTCGTACCTGGGGGCCCTGGCGCTCCGCCCCCATCAGCGTCCGAGCATAACGCCACTGGGATTTCTGCTGGGAGCTGCCACTTGAATATCTGCAGATTCACCTTCCCTCCAATTGATACTAGTGGGTTGGCTCTAAAGACATACATTCTGTGAGAGTGGGGGGGGGGGCTTTCACAGCAGCCTGACAGGGGATCTCAAAATATGCCGTCTAAAGAATGAGCAATTTTGGCCCATTTTAGGTCATTTATTTCATTTCATTTATTTCGCCAGATATAAGGTCGTTCTGTTTTAAAGTCTTATGAGCAAGGCATGTTGTGCCTCCACTTGTCATGCCACTTACACAAATTCGATAAATTTTAAAATATTATTGATATTGCGTATATTCAACTCGGTTACTGATTAATGTAGAATAAGCAACACGCTTCTGATCTCCTCAAATCGATTGTATAAATGTTACATTATATCCCCAGAGAGCAGTACGAGATAGATAATCTACGACCACCGCCACCAATACCAAGAACTATGCAACCGTAAGTATACTTCTTCATACTGGACAGTATACTTTATGGAATATTATATATTTTAGGAAAGAAGGTTGACATTGTTATATAGAAAGTGGGGTGAAAGAAGAACACATAGGCCTGAATGTAGTTATGATTTTTTTCCAATTATATTTTAAAATAATGTTGTCTAGGAACTAGTAATGTATAGGCCTAATTATAATCATAAATACTGTCATCGTCGTCGTCATAATCATCTTAATCATCGTCATCATCATCGTAATTGTCATCATTATCATCGTTATAATTGTTGTCCTCATCGTCTCATAATCATCATTTTTATTATTATGCATTCAAACATAGCAAAAAATAGTCAATGTATTATACAATTATATAGTAATAGTCATTGTAATGTGTTCATTATCAGATCACAGACACGTTCGGAAGGTATATACGAAACGCCGATTTCCAACAGACGTGACTACCTTGAAGTTGAATGAGTTGAAATACTACCGGTGGGGACGACCGGATATCATAACCTCCCATATAGGAAGATTTCTTGCCGTGATTCAACTTAATCAGAGTGCTTGCAATTTCTGACTGCGTAACATCTGTAATTATGTTTAAAACAACTTACTTTTGTACCGTAATCAATTCAGACATCGAATGTATTTACAACGAAAGAAAGAATTAATTTACACGTTGCGCAATTTGTCTCTTTTGTCATTGATCATCATTAGAATCACCATGATTGATAGGCCTAACCATCATCATCGTTGTCGCCGTCATCATCATCATCGTAATCTTATTCGTATCGTGTCCACACACTTCCTAGGTCACAATCATTGCACTCGGCAGGTCGATCAGATGGCATGAAGAAAGCGATGATACAATTAGATGCTGGCTTGACCTTGTGTCTGGTAGATTGTATTGTATTTTTTTTAAATTTTATTACATCACGATGGAATATGTATGTTGCTAGGCCAAGCTATGAATGAACGCACACATTATGAGATAACAAGGTGTAATTTTCTTATAAAAGAACTGAACAAAAATAAGGCAACGCTCAAATAATTCATAATAATGTTTACAATATATTTTAATCTATCAAACAAATGTCTATCAGTAGGTTAGGCGTTTAAACTAATGCCCCTTAATAAACTTAATTAACCACAATCAATTACTGTATTCATCTTCATCGCAAAATAAGGGCTGCGAAAAGCTAGCTCCGTGTGCGCAGAGCTAGTCAGTACGCGTACTACTAATAACCTAGGTAAATGCACACGCACAGTAATCACTGAGCAACCAGCCATGGCGACCAGCAGTTTGGTTTATAGCAACCACTCTACAACCAGCAGTTTGATGTTTAAAGGGCCATATAAAAAGTAATGGACGTCACAACTTACTTATAAAGCAATTCCTAATTGTGTACACTAATGATATAAAAGCCTCAAGCCATTATTTCCTGAATTTTTTTTTTCTCCAGGAAATAACGCCTCCTTCGTCTTCTGTTTCCTATAGTGTACTCAAAACCTGACTATAATTGCATATTATTGTATTGTATAATCTTGTATCAAGAGGCGAGGCTGTCTGCATATTGATAGCAGTCTGCTTTTCGTCGTTTAAAATTAATGATCTGTAAACCACACCTCATTGTGTTGTGGTGCCTATACAGTTACGCTGGCCGAATACTTGTGTTCCGGGCTTAATTACGATGAAGCAAAATAATGCATTTTAGATAGAATTATCTATATATTTTCGGGAACTTATTGGAAAAAAATAGCTTTATGACGTCAACATTAATCTCTAAAAAAAAAGAAAAAAAAAAAACCTTCTGAAAGCCGGTCACGAAAAATATAAATGTAGAGGGCTCAATTCACAACCTGAGCATTCATAATGAATGGCCTAACTGAAACAGTAAATTTAATAGTTAAAAACTCTTCACATAAGCCTAACCCTCACCAGTACCGTACCTTGGTTTGAGTCTAATTTTCGTATAGTTATTTTTCGTGTTTTTTTTTTTGTTTTCTATCATTTTTTTTTATGATTTTGTTTACATTTATGCAACGAGCTGAATCTTTTATGGTGAATTAACAAACCAACGGAACGGTGCAATGTGTCTTGGACGCCAGTGATGCAAACCAAGCATACATACAATTTTTAAAGCTCATGGAAAAATTGATCGACAAATGCTTTCCTTTTGAGAAAGTCAGTGTAAGAGCTAACAAAAGTATATCACCATGGATTACTGAAGTACATTAAATATAGAAATATAGTAACAACACTCATAAGGAAAAGAAAAGAAGATCACTATTCTAATCGATTGGAAAAATATAAAAATGCATGGAAAACTATAAACACAATTATGGAGAGAAAGAAAACATGAAGTTTGCCACCATCAATTGGTTATGAAACTACACAGGCAAAATCTCTTTTAAAAAATATCAGACGCTTTTAATAGGCCTAGATTTTTCACAAGTATTGGCGAAACACTAGCAAATAAAATCTAACAAGATCCTCAGACACCAGACCTAATACTTAACTGGAAACTCCATATTTTTTTAGACCTGTTACCGAAAATTAAATAAAAAAATATCTAAATAAAATTAGACTTGGAAAAAAAATATCCTGTCATGATGGAATACGAGCATTTTTCATTAAACCATAGGCCTATTCACCGTACCTTGTTCAACCCATTGCACGCTTAATTAATGTAGGCCTACCACTTACTACTGCTTTTTCCCTAATGATTTAAAGATAGCAAGATCAATACCCATATTTAAGAATGGTGATAGACAAGAAATCTGCAATTATTAATCAGTATCTATACTGCCATGTCATTTAAAGATTTATGAAAGGATTGTTACTGTGTTACTGAACACAGTTGGTATGACTATTATATTCAACTGCTAATGTTATTCTCTTTAGGGGTAAGAGTATCAATAACCGGATTTGTTAAGACCATGGAGATGGTCAATGTAGCCACCCAGGTTACTAATACCATAGACATCAGCAAGTGGTCTCTTCTGATTTAAATACTCCTGCAGAATACTTAAGAAGTAATTTTGTAAGTAGAGAGTGAACGGTGTTTCTCCTGTATCGTCTGCGATGTTCGGGTATGCGCCTAAATCGATCAGTGTGCTAACCATTCGATCACGATTTCTACTCTGCAAGCAAGCAAAGTGCAATGGTGTGCGCCCGTTCCTGTTATCTCTTTGATGTACATCAAGTTTGCATTCGGAGACCAAAAACGTCGCACATTCTACACCACGATTAAGAAAGTTTTTGGCAACAAGATGCAGAGCTGTTTCCGAATTACCTTTTTGATATCCGGGATTAACGTCGAGAGAAACCAGTTCCTTAAGGAAACCCAAGTGACAGTAGTCTGTCGCAATATGATGGGGTTTGTTACCGAATACATCTGCAATTTCCAAATCTATCTTCATCTGCACAATGAGAATTATAGTTGGTAGCAATCTTACGATGTTGTAAAATGCGCATAGATGAATTGGAGTTCTGCCGTCAAGATCCTGCAAATTGACGTAAACTCCATACTGGATGATCAACTTCAGCAACTGAAACCCACGTGTTAAAATGACGTCAATAATTGTCGATTGATCGTTGATACATCCCAATGAATTTTCCTTATAAGGTAGTGGATTGCAGTACGTCCGAGGTTGTCCTGGAGGTTGGATTCAACCCAGAGCTAAGTTTCAATCGTGCCATTTCTAGTTCTGAATTCGGTGGAAACTGATTGCAAAGAATATAGCAGAGGCATCAAAAATCTCTCTCCAGTCGATAGATCTTTAACAAAAACAAAAAAAAAAGCAAAGTAATAGAAAGATAACAAAGACCCAACATTGATATGCCAGTCAGCTTTTATAAATGCACTTGCACACAGTAATTTAAAATGTGGTAGGTGGCTGTGACGCTCTTTACGTGACCTGTATGCTGTCTGTTTGCTGACACTTAAGACCTAATATGCAAAACAGCCACGCGTACCGTCATGACTGATTACAGAATGATGATGTGTTCGCAGATTGAACCTGAAACTTTAATTCTATGCCTTATTTATCATACAGAACACGAACACTGTCATTTATCACTCATCGGATTGAACAATATTCATGGGCTAAGTTTTATGATATATAATATTTTTGATATAATATGATAGTGAATTTTTTATTTTATTTTACAGGCATTTAAATACAAATGCTGCACTCCTGTAAATGGTGTGATGCTACTTGTTTTTATGAACCATTATATAACCAAACATAGACATTTTCCCTCATATGCATCAAAAAATTGTTTCCTTTGGGGGGAAATAATCAAAATATACATCCTATATTTTACTTTTAGTGCTAGGCTAGTACTAGCTACGTCATTATGGTGATTCAAAATTCAAGATTCATTTATTGTCTTTTCCATAAAAAAATAAATAAAATAAAATGATGATAAAAATGGGAATTGTTTTGTTTGAATACACACACTGCGAAGTTTCAATTTAAAATATTGTTTAATAAAATATTATGTAAAACATGAAATACAATACGTTCAAATATAATATTTAAAAAAAAGAATTATTGAAAAAAAATTGTAAAAAATCCAATGTAAAACTGAACAGTTAAAACGACGTAAAAAGAGAGACATGGAAAACAAAAGATTCTCGGCAATAAAATCGTTAAAAAAAGGAATTTAAAAACTGGGTTAAAAAGCGCCTTAAAAATAACCAAAAGAGATCAAACTATGTGTGGCATTGTTACCGATATATATTAGTCTTGAAGTACTTCATGTAAGCCTACCGTGTAGGCCTAGTCTAATATTATATTTATAATATAGGCCTATATTGTAGATAGAATATTTGCATCATAAAGAGATGGTTAAGAAAGTTTATAAAGACAAAAAAGTTAATAATTTTATTTGAATAGAACACTACCTTACATTATCACCGACCTACAGTACAGGCTTCCAAGTTGTAGTTTCTAATGTAATTGCATATGTATTATTCCATTGCAAGTTCGTTTAAGCTTCGCTGATCAGCTACTTCAATATAAAAATCAATTTCCTTGTCGTCTGTAATCATTATTGTTTTTAAGATAGACCTAGACAATTTATAATAATAATAATAATAAAATTAATAATAATAATAATAATTAATAATAATAATAATAAAGTCTAAAAATGATTTAGTATTAGGCCTAAGCCTATAGCCACCTACTTATAATTCTACTGGTATATTACACAAAATAAATAAATAAACAAGCAATTGTAAATTTAGTAGTACGTGTATCATGGTATTCATGAGAATGAAATAAGAACAATTTACCATTGTTGCTTAGTATGTTCTTTTTGCAAACAAAAGAACGCGCGAATTTGTTCTGATGTTACGCATGCGTTTGCGTTAACTAACGGCAGCTATGCATGCACCACTACACTAAATTTCGTTTTAAAATTGACGTTGAACATTGTTAACAAACTCTAAAATAAGAAATTTCTTTAAATATGCGTATACGCAAGAAACGAAATGTGTGACATAGCCTACCTGTGACTAACTTTTGTTAACAAAATTTATGTTTATTTTAACTTGTTTTAGTATCCATTTAGCGAATCCATGAAACTTTCATCAGCAAATATATATTTATATTATCTAGTATTTTACATACAAATGTGTCTTATAACAACAACAGAAGGTAGGTGGAGAAAGTTTATTTTGATCTCAGTAAAGATCAGGTTTACAATCTAAGGCCTAGCTAGGGGTAGCCTGCTTGGCATATAGAGGCCTACTACTAATAAGGCCAAGTGAAACACTAGACCTAGCTAGGCTTATGCATATTATTGAGGTTTCTGAATAGAGACTCTCCGTGCGTCTGTTGATATTTTTTGATGTTTAGTTGTAGCGAGTTTTTTTTTTAAACTAAATAATCGTTTTTAATTGTATTATTACTTTTGAAAGTTATTGTTAAGTAGACATATTATATAGATAGGGTCACCTCATACGGTACTTTGATTCTGAGTTTTACTGTTGCGATTTTAAATGTTATAACAATGTATACAAAAAACATTTAAAAAAAATGGAAACATTATAAATATATGAAAATAATTATACAATTAAAATATAATGTAAATCCCAAAATTAGTAGAACTTAGGTCGAAGAAGTACTGTATTATCATTTTAGAGGCTAATTTTACTTCAGACTCAGAGCAGACCAGATGCATTGGTGACGTCACTTCTTCAAATAAACAGCAGACGGAAATGCATGGGCCTAATTGTAGTAAACTAGATACAGATGACATCTTTATTAAGTCGTATGTCCACGTTAGTGAGCATCAACGTTCGAGAAACACGCGTGGCACTAAACAGAAGAATCGTATGGATAAACTAATTCAGAACAGCGAATTTCATAAAGCTCATAGAAAAAAGACATTAAAGAAAAAGAAACTAGCAAATAAGGGTACGGACGATTCTCCTAAAAAAAAAGGTAATGGTAGTCTCATATTTATTATTGGAGAATGACCTGTAAGCCCATCGTATTGATTAATATTAATTGATATTGATTGGTATTGAATGGTTCAGAGATGTATGAATGTGTGACTGTTAGTCATATTTAATATTTATCCTAAATTTGTCACGCATTGAGCACACGTCTATGTATGATAACGAATTATCACGAATTTAGGAGAAAATGTATTTAAAAATAAAAGAAACTGGTTTTATAAAAAATATAAAATCTTGAGTCATTAGAGAGTAGTATTTACGTGAATATTATTTCACTGACGCATTAATAAAAATTGTTAAAAGAATGTTTGTGTAGGTTTACATAGTTCAGGGGCTCAAATTAAACATACATTGAAACTCACATCGAAAGTGGCTTTATTAAAAATATTTTTGCTTTTGTAGGCCTACCCAATATTGTCAACAATTGTATTGTCAACAAACGCTCCGTAAAATCGTATTAAAACAGCTTATAAATCCTCAGATCGTCGACTCACCAGGGCCTACGCTCCCCTCGACCTCGCCGGGGCTCCGCTTCTCGACCCACCCTTTCCCCAGCCAACTGGTGTAGTCCCTCATGCATTTCAAACTCCTCAGGTTGGTACCTAGGCCTATGTGTGGTAGGGTGGCCAGTGGCAGGTACCCATTTATACCTCTGGGTGGAAAGAGACAAACGTAGGTAAAGTGCCTTGTCCAAGCGAAATGCATAGCGAATGTTCGAATCCCAGACCTCGATGAGACCGACACACAATCGCTGTCCCAACCGCTCCCTTTCTACTAAAACCATGTCTAATAACCAGCAGGTGTCAGTCAATTTCGTACTAATAACCGGCTTGTGAAAGCTAAGAAAAAAAATAAATTAAAGGAAGAGAGCAAGTAAAGGCACGGACGATCTACATGTGACATAGACCTACCTAAATATGGTCATGAGGACATCACATCTTTACCATAATTATAGGCATATCATTATTATATTGGATACAAATGTTCTTTGTCAAAGATTTATTTGAAAATCTGGGCAAAGCTTTAGTTTGTCTTCTCCAGCAACATATTGATAATATCTACCTCTCTATCAAGTTTTATGTTAGAAATACAATGGTTACAAGATACACAAAAGTGTGATGTGACATCATCGTGTCTATGTATGGTTGTGTTATGATATCTCCATGGGCAGTTCACAAGAACTTAATTGTCACATAAATCTGTATAGCGTGGACAGATGTTAAGATAAAACAGCTTAAATGATCTGGATCCTGTTAACCGTTAGATGATGTGTGTGAACATATAAACGAATAGCTTTCATTGAAATAATCTGTTAGTATTAAGGGGGAAAAAAACACATAACTAGGCCTATATAACTCGTTATTACAGATGTAATGGTAATTTGCAAAATAGTACGTTGCCAATAGCAATGTATGAAAAAAAATGCATGTAATAAAAAATCAATAATACCGTAATAATAATAACAATAATAATAATAATAATCATAATAAAATAATAATAATAATAATATTGGCCTCTATAAGATAAACTGCTAATTCACAAAAATTATATGTAAATGGTCTAATTTGCAAGCATAGTTCAAGAACGTTACCAGGACTAGGCTACCCGGCCGTATTTTTTAAAACAGATGTACAATAAAGATTTTTTTCAGTATGTATAATACTTATTTGTATAATAGCTTACTCATTTTTATTCTATTTTGAGAAAATAGAAAAGAAAGCTCAGAAACGGGAGGTGAATTATGGTCAATATAGAAATCACAAGCTTGTGAAAGCTTTGAAAAAAAAGAAGTTAGAGAAAAAGAAAAAAGAACAGGAACAAAGAGAACTAAAAGCGAAGTTATCAAGTAAGTTGTCTATAGCAACACATTAATATTGAAAATATTAAAGCTCTCTAATGCTCTTGTGCAGACAATCAAATTTTATGGGATATGCCCATGGGCCTGATGAT